CCTTTAATAAAAAATAATTAGATGATAAATAATACTACTCTAAACTTATTCAACTTTAATATCAACTTTAATAACTCGAATTGGATATTTGTTGAAATGTCATCATCCAAACATTCCCCAAACCATACAACATCCGGCCTCAACAGACCTTTGCATTTAGAACAACTTGGAAGTTTATCAATTGGGAGGTTAATATCAAATTGAGAGTCTTCCGTTCCTTTTAGCGCAGGTGCGATAGGAGAATCACGATTCTCTCTTCTATCACCGCATTTAGTACAACGAGTCCTAAACAGAGAACCATGCATTTCAATCAAATTTTCGATATTACTCGAAAGACCGTCAACATTTTGAGTAATGACAGTAAACGTTTGTGCTTTCGGGGATGCCGATAACACTTTTTTCTCAAAGTCAACTAGGGCTTTATGGGCACGATTCGGTTTCTTTGTTAACACCAATTCACGACTAAAATACAAATTCAAATAATTCATGTACATATAATAAGTAATTAAATCTTAGGTAGCTAGGGTTGTAAATTACCGATAAATTAGGTAAATTATTAATAAATTACCGATTACCATAACTGATAAGCCACCGTAATTTTACAACCCTGTACGTACATACTTAGGTGAAAAATCTTAGTACCGATAATGATAGAATTCCCATACTCGGGATGGATTCGCTTCGAATGACTAATAAATAGCAAATCACAGATCAGAAATCATATCTAAACTTTAACGGATAAAAGTACCTTTGGCGTGGCGAGTTTGGTTGCTTCAAAAGTTCTCCACAAACCACCTTCACCCCGAAAAGTCTATTGGACGAATAAAGATTTTTGAAATATTTAGCAACATAATTTCATGTGTAATTCTGATTTTCTCGAATTTATTAATACGTACCGGTACACCCGATTCTGCACTCAATCCCGCACCACATAAAGCGACTATGTGTTTTGAAGTTTTTAGCACTAGAAAAATAAATGGATTAGTTGCAAATTCGAGCGATAAGGAGAATCGCGAGTAAATTACTAAAGAACCTAAAGAACTTAATGTACCTTGTTGAAAGGATTCGATTGTAGACATTGAAAACCAAGTTTAGGATCGCGGAGCTTTAGGACGGAGTAAAATTTTCAATTACCGCAAAATACGCGGGTACGCTATAATCTAAAAATATCCAAAACAGGTTTTTTCTAGGGATGGTAAAAAATCGTTTTTTATTGATTTTTATGTTTTTTTAACTTGATTTAATAAAATGTTTTAAAACATTGTTGATTATGGCGCTGATGGATGAAGCTAAAATCACTGTATATAATTGGTTAATTTCAACTTCAGTGTCGCCATGAATTTTCTATTTCTTAATCGAAATATGCCATCAGTTGTGTTACAAAAGTCAAAAGTCAGAGGATTCGAATTTATAATCATGATCTTAACCATATCATTATTATTAATCGTGATATCAATATCAGTGACGATGTTTTAAAACATGTAAAAAATCATTTTAAAGCAATATAAAACTGATTTAAAACAT